AACTTTATATCAAAGAGATGCAGCTTTCCAGTAAAATGAAATAAATTGGGTAAACAAGCAAATAGTAGGAGAAACAAACCGCTGGAAAAACTAAGAGGGGATATTCGAAACCTCGACCGTCAGACAACGGAACCCATACAGCTACAAGATTAAGTTTCATTCCACAAAGGGAATGAATAAAAGGAAGAAATATATGTCTATAGTTAATTATAAGCCAAACTGACTTAGATATAATTGAAGTCTGTACAGGTGGTTAGCAGCCGAGATCGTCTCAGGAGAGAGCAAAGACGAGAATGAACATTTAGAAACTGCAGAACGTAATATAAATAACAACGTCACAATGACTAGAGATATATATCAAATATGCCTTAAGCTGTGATTAATTAAAAAACGTCAGTAATAAAGATGAAGTTCAGCTAATATAAAGTTTGTGGTTTAATTTTAAAGAAAATACATTCCTCAGATATTTAACAAACGTAAAGCCAAAGGTATGGATATCGGTAAACGTTCCTTGTTGAAGGGGGGAATGCTCACGTGCAAGAGAAACCGGAGCGCAAATAGGGAAAGCCTAAAACCACATCGGATACCAAATCCAAAAACCCATTGGTGTTTTTACGAAAATTAAATGCGCAAAAACGGAAAATTTGCAAACTGCAATGAACGCCAGAACCGAAAAATTCAATCCCCCCTCCCCGTGCATTTGTTTATCAGATTGATTACTCCACCCGCGGAGCAAATATTTCATTTTTTAATTGAAGCATTTGCTACAAACAAACACTCTGAGCATAGAGAGATTCCTTTTTATTTTTTATTTTGTGAGTCATCACGAGTTCTTTTTTTATTATGGGACATATCGGTTTTTCTTAAGGGATCGTGAGTATTTCAACCTTTAAATTTTAAGACAAGATCTGATGTCTGGGAATCGTGAATATCAACCAAACTATATTTGTTTTCTATTCCAGTACTGACAAAAGGTACCAGACCAATATTCTATTGAGTCATCCTGACATAGCAGGTTTAGTAAATATCGAGCAACTTTATATGTTGTGTTTCTTGTCGTATTTTATGACGCTTATATTGTCTTTAAACAAGTAGTCAAGAATATAATGCTGACAGAATAGAGGGTCTTAAAGGGTTAACCGCTGGCCGTAAAAGACGGCCAAAAAATTTTGCAGTTTTGCGTAGAAATTGGCAAAATTTTAACCGTTAGTCGTAGGAAAAGTTGATGGTAAAAACCTTTTCCCATCTGCGATGTGTCATTTTGTGTTTAAGGTAGCTGTAAAATGAAAAAAGTTTTTAACCGTTGGGCGTAAAAGCCAGATTACTTAGATTTCTGAGAGGTGGGTGACTTCGCTAAACACAAAATTTATGTGTTTCATAAAGAGGGTGATTTTTAGTGGCAATGAAACCAGTTTACAATGAGTCAACGTACAGTAATACGTTTTATAGCGTAACGCAGTTATCATCGTCCTTCTTTCCACGCCTTATTGAGCCTTGCTCTGCTGCTGCTATTAAACAACAAGCTGACTCTAATCGACGCTGCGGCACGAGCCAGTATGTTTCGAGCCAGCGGGTGATGCAAGCTCGGGTGGGTTCATAGGATTTCAGGTACGAGCATTTCTACTGCCAGACCCCTGATGGACCTCTCGCACGCTTGGTCGCTTTCACTAACAGAACGCCTGGAGCGAGTTACAACAAAACAAACGCCAGGAAACCTCTTCCTGACTATAACCACACGGTTTCCTAGTTGCGACAGTTGGCTCATAGACTAAACTTTACATGTGAAAAGCTATCAGGTAGTGGTAACGACGGAAAAGGCGGGCGGGCGGTAGAAAAAAATTAACTGGGGTGTCTGTTGATCCCTATAACCAACGCCAAACGGGCTTCACTGACACTCTCTCTGATGAACCAAATTTAGAATTATATTTTGTTCAAAAGAGAAAACTGAAGGGTCACTAATAGCGGAGCTAGCAGAGCGTAGCCCCATAATTATACAAAATAGTAGTAACCCATCAAGCCGAAAAAATTTAGATGTGCGACCGTACGACCTTGTAAGGCGCTACTTTTAACGTACGTGGTCAAGTGTACCGCAGGCACGCCAACGCCACTGCTTTGTCCAGTAGTCCAGTGGTCAGTGCACTAGGCTCCGAGTCGGACGACCCGGGTTCTAGTCCTGCCCTTGAGACGTGCAGGAACAAAAAAAACGCGAGCTCCGCTTTTACGCCTGGCTAAATCTTTATATTAGACAAGAATATCAAGCACTTGATGAACCTTATTTTAATCTGTGTCGGTTTTGACATTTCGTTGATTGTCTTATTTTGTCGTGGATATCGTTGACCATTACTATAGGGAGGGGGAAGGTTTTTCTTTGAGACGAAATCTTCTTTAAGAACGTTATTTAATCAGTATTATAATTTGTTTAATAACATCTTTCTCTGACTTTGTTCACCCTTAATAAGTCAACTAGAATTTTTCCTTACATTTAGGCATCATCACTAAAATATACATTTCGTCAAAAACTGATAAAAATTTATTTGAGACCTCTGAATTCTCCAGTACATATTAAAAATTCTGACTTTAAGCTTATCATCTCAACATTTTAACAACTATTATTTGTAAAAAAAAAAAACTACACACATTTACCATATTACGCTGACCACCTCACTTGGGCGATCACGAAGAGATCACTAAAGCTGTGCTCATTTCTGTAGTTAACATACATACTTATTCTTCTTTTCTTTTGACATTTATTAGTGATTCACTGATATAATTTTGCACCTGCCATTTTAAATACCCGTATTTACATTACCTTTTGGTAAAAAAAGTTCTAAAAATTCATTACAACCTAAATAATGATTGAATAATTTTTTGATTCTGGATCCTAAAACGTAAAAGCATTTGAATTAAAAAATCAGCAAGTGAATGAAAACGATTCCTTTTGTCCTACGACAAGTCTGAAGGCTGCCGTCCGACACAAATTTAGTGAAATGTTTAGTTTTCTAGACACGAGATATTTTTTTTTTGACAAATACTTTACTGTAATACTTGAAGAACCTAAACGTTAACTTACATGGCCCACTTCAGAAGTTCCAAGATAGTTCCCTGAGGTTTTACCATCATGATATGTCATTTCCTCGTTTGACAAAAAACTTAAGCGTTTATCCTAGATAAAAAAACTTTCCTGTCAGACAGAATTCATTAACCAAACTTTACCGAGCCCTTAATTCGAATACAAAAATATCTTAAGTGGTACGATTAAAAAAAATCACCTAAATTGTCACTCTAAGAAATATGATAATCTGCCGTCACTGATGATGAGCATGTTGAACAGCTGTTGCCACGGATACTGCTAAATAGGCCAGATACAGTGTTAAAAGATACGCGCCATACATCCGGGGCACTCTGAATCCCATTAAAGGAATACAGATGGCAGACGAGCTGAGACTGGCAGCTAGAAATGCAGCTGAGATTATGTATTGGTTATCTTGGTGATGTAACTATAAAAAATGACATAATGGAGAAAAATTGGGGAAAAGTGAGGTTTGTAAAACGGTTTGCACGAGAGCAATGTTACACCGATGATGCAGAATGCCGCAACTGCTGGCCGACACTTAAAGTTATTGGAGTAGTAAAGTAAGTACTTACATGTATCAGATGTTGACTATCTGTTACAGTGACGTAAGTACATGGTATACCAATACCTAGTAACATATCTAAATAAATGATCAGGAAACATTTATATTC